AATGTAACCTTGATTTCTCAGTAAAAATGGTTTGCTGTATCAGCATGATTTTTTTTTAATTTGGCCAAACAGGGTTTTATATTTCTTAACAGACCCATTAACCGTTGATAAGTCTTCATGTGTATTTTTATGACAATTTATGTTCATTACAGCCAAACCCAGTCAATCTAAAACAGTCAAAATCACTATTAAAGACGAACCACTTAAGTTTTGCTGAAGCTAAATGAACAGTAAAAACCCAGAGGAGGAAAAAAGTAAATATGGGATGATTTAACTTGTAAGTATTGTGTTTTAATATTTGAGACACTGGTAAATCCCTAATTCTCTATGGAACTTCCTGATTCCTTGCACAAGTGACATCACACCAATCACACTGCCTTTGGCAGGAATGACTGGAAGTGGGCTTTGTTCTAAACAAACTGAATTCAGACAAGACCAAGCTGCTGATTAGCCTCCCATAGCCTTTGTTGCAGCCTTCCAAATTAGGGTTGAGAGTCTGCAGACACTTTTGCATGTGAGTACTCCTACTGAGTTGTCACTACTGATGTGCATAAAGTTACTCACAGCTTTGAACGTGACAAGAACAGGGAACATATTAGCATGCGATAGTAAATAACTGTTTATTGGTAAATTTATAATATTTGAGCAATGATTATGTATATGTTTAGTAATGTCATAAAGTAATTGGCACGTGTATATGCTGAAACACTTGCTAACTCTGATGTTATTATAAACAATAAAAATCTAAAAGATATCCACATTATCTGTGCGTTTTATTACAGAATGATCTGAGTAAAAACATAAATAACCTCCTGTCCAGGCTCACAAAATCAGCATGTATTAACAGATGGTCACATTTAGAAGTCACTTGTCAGAGATGTTAATATATACTCAATATGTCTCTCTCCTTCTTTTTCTTAATAACTCAAGCATCACTGCTTATGTTTGTGCAATAAATGTTTTCACTGCAGGCACTCTGACTCCTTGCTATTTTTGCATTTGTCACTTTTTAATCTTGCCTTCCTGGGATCTACATGTTTAGGTTACTGATACTGTCATAATATAATTAAACAAATTATCACAAAATCAAATTGAATCAAATGGAAAAAAAATTGAAAAAAATCTGCTACTAAAATATTGCTTTACAAGATAGTAAGTTACAAAGAGTGCAGATTATATCCGTATCTCACTACTTTCCATCTGGAATTCATCATTTTATAGTGCATTTCCTTTGGAAGTCAGATTTCTCATGTATGCCTTTGTCCTTTTATACTAGCTAGGATATATCTGCACTTAGTGCTAATTTTCCTACATATTTTCAAATTAAATTTGGAACTAAATGTGAAACCAAAAATGGAGTTGGAGGATAGGAGAGGAGGAAAAGGGAAAAAAAAGACTCTTGAAGGACCATGGAGGAGGACGAGGAGGAAAGAATAAGAAGGAATAGAATATATAAGTTCCAATGGAACTTATAAAGAAGTAACAGAAGAGTGAGCTTTGGTAATGTAAATGTGGCATTTTATTTTGCTGAAAGAGCCAATTATCTGATGTGGCTGCAACCAAATGCTAAAGGAAAGTATGTTGGTAACATTTAAGCTTCATAATGACCTGTATAATTGTATGTACTCTGTGAACATTTACACAGTAAGTAATATTAATACAAAAATGATTAAACCAACCCTTTCTCCCAATACTGGAGAAGTTTGCTTCAGTTACAGTATATGAACAACAAAGGGGTCTGTTGGTCCACGGGGTTCCCGAGTGAGCCCTTGCTTTCTACCCCAAAGGATAGGTGTGGCTACCCACTCAATAGTCCCAGGACTGGTCAACAGCTTATTGATTGGGATGACAAACAACGGAACTGGAACGCGGTGAACGATGTAAACGATGTGACACCAGTCCAACTTGGACGAACAGATGGTTGAAGATGGTGCCGAGGTCAATTGTAAGTGATGTCGAAGCAGAGGTAGGCTGGGTCGATTAAAATCGCAGTCAGGGTTGATGAGCCAAAGGAATCAATACGAAAATGAATCGGCTCGATCTGCAAAACCGCAGTGAGGAGGAGATGAATGGGCCAGGAAGCCCTGCTGAGGAGCAGTCCCTGTGGGAACAGCTTCTGCTCTCAGCTTGGATCTCCCCCAGCGAGACAGTCCCTGCCAAGGCAGCCTCTGTTCGCCAGTTGAGCGGGTCTCTTTCTCCTGTCTCTCCAGTCTCCCCAGTCTTTCCCAGTTTCCTTCGTCTTCCTCGTCTCCCCCTGGATGAGGGGCTCACAAGTCTTTTAAGGCAACCAGGTAGCAAATCAGGTTGCTTTTCCAAGAGAAATTTCTAGTCCAATTACGTCATTCTCTGTGTGAGACTGGGCATGCGTCTGATCAGATTACCTCATGTTCTGTGTGAAACTGAGCACGCGCCTTGTTACAAAACTAGGTCAGCTTTGATTGACAAGCCCTAGGGTTGCACAGGGGGCACATGCTGAGCATGCTGTGGAATTTTCCATAGGCCTTGTCTGCTTGTCTGCGCATGATCAAACTTAACTCTTGTGTTACCAGCATACATCTAAAATTTGGTCCGGACGATACCATGTGAGCATAGTTATATAAATGCATATATATGGTTCTGTTCCCTAACTGATAGGCTTAAGTAGCCAATGAACATATTGCAAATAAGAACTAGTCTAATGAAATGTTCAATTAAAATACCCAAATAAATAGTTGAATACTTATCCTTAAACTCCGTTCCTCTTGATGATTTATATTAGTAAAACTAGAACATACAGGAAACAAATCCAAGAGTGTTGTGAATACAGATTTTACACAAGCTTAGTTTTTCATTAAAATATTTGTAGACAAACGTTTTGCTATTCACTGAGCTCTAACCACAGGTCCAATGGTTACAATGTTCTCCCAAAGCGTACTGATAGTGCATGCTTACTATGTGCAATATAGTTTGATGGTAGCATGCAGTTTTAAAATGAAATGTTTATAAATAAGAGATAAACCAGTTGTATTAAAGACATATACCCCATAATTATTAGCATTTACTAAGGTCAGAAATTATACTATATATTTGAATTACACCGCAAATAATCTCAAAGGCACACATATGCAAAGATGGGCATTTGGTTTAGCGTTATTCTGGAGTTTAGCATGGGAATACTTTGACTGGAATGAATCCTTTCTCCATTTAGTTTAATCTCTACAGCTTACTATGTTATAGCTGTTTGCAAGGATTACACATTTCTACTGATGAGGACATGAGGCTTCCATACCTTCTGGAAAGGTGGAAGGACTCTGGTTATTCAAACACTGTATCTTGGGTGAACTTAACATGGGTGTTGAGTACCTTTATATTGCCATCAGTTCCCCATAACAATTTGGCTACGAAATTGTGTGGCCAGAGCTCTAGGCCTCTACAGCTATGTCTAGACAAGTGTGGATGTTTGGTTCCCCAGGGACATTAAGCAGCGGCATGGCAAGTTACCCTGGGTGAGGTAGGGGAGGCTGGGGCCAGCACTAGGTTGGCCCCAGTAGCCTTCCCTGGGCCATGGGGGCCTCCCGGGGCTGTAGCAGCAGTGATCCTGCTGCTTGGAGCCTGGCCGGCAACTGAAGCATGGCTCCAGTTACCTAGGCTCCGCTTTTGAGTGGCGCACACTGCTCCTGTGTATGCTGCTCCATTTTTTTTCCCCCGCGGACTTTTTGACCCCTGGATATCCAGAGGTCGAGCCCTCCCCACCCCACCCCCTGCGCTGCTCCCTTGCAGCATGGAGAACACCTGAATGTGTGACATGTGGCGCCACAGATGCATCTGAAGTGCCACATACCACGCAGCCATACTTGTCTGGAAGTGGGCTACTTGACCACAGAGGCAAAGAACAGACGACCAACCCTATCTACTCTCAGCTAGCATTCTTAGATCTGCAGAGCTTATGAACTACATAGGGTGAGAATGAAGGGGTATCATGTGGCATCAGTGCTATTCCTTTTGGATCTTCAGGGTGATACAACTGTGAAAACAACAGCTAACATAGGATGCATCCTCCACCCATCTATATTTTTCATTCCATTTAAATTAACCTTTCTCAAGTCAAGATCAGGTAAGGGAGATGATTGAGATAGGCTCAGAAGCAGTCATGTACATGTGGACTTCACTGACACAATGCACAAGATTTCCAGTACTTTGGAAGAGGGATAGCCAGGGAAGGCACTGGAGAGTAAGGAAGGTTTGTGTTCTCATGAAAGTAGAAGCTGGCAACTGGTCACATTTGGCAACAGAAAGTGTGCTTCTCTTCTGATCCCTCCTGCTGTCCAGACAAAGAACAGATATAAAACTCAGGAGAGGAATCTTTCTTTCATTGGTAGAAGAGACCAAGCCTTGCCCCTTAAAGGCTAGGGGGGATTAAAACCACTGCTACCAAGAGGAAGGGAAGAATGGTGGTGGTTGGTGATACCATTCTTTGTGAAGGCCCGGGCAAGAAATGTCGAAGAGCAACAACTCTCAGTGAGTATATGCCTTCAGTAGGACTCTGGCTTCCTGACCACAGTGTGGTGTTTTAAGGAGTGGCAAGAAGGGAAGGGGTCCATTTGATAAAGCAGGGAAAGAATGCCTTTGAATACTGGCTGATTTTAAACCAGGTTCAATGGGGAATGGAAGCAGAAATCAGAAATGTACTCACCTGGAGTACCATGTCTTTTTTGGGCACCCCACTTCAGGAAAGATGCAGATAATTTGGAAATGGTCTAGTAGAAAGCAACAAAAATAATAAGATCTCCAGCAAACATGACTTGTGAAACCAGGTTGGAAGAACTAGGATTACTTTGTCTTGAGAAGGAAGATTGAAGGGATAGGATTTAATAAGCCTTCAAATACAAGGATGGTTATAAAAAAAATGATAATACACTCTTCTCTGTTGTGGCAGGGGATAAGATAAGGAGTAATGGTTTAGATAGGGATGAACCTACCTTGAGCAGGGATCAGGACTAGATGACCTCTTCAGGCCCTTCTAGCCCTAATTTTCTATGACTCTAAGAGGAAGGTAAGCTGCTTTACTCATAATTCAGTTCCAAAATACGAGAGAAAAGACTGTCATTTTTAAAAGAATCATAAGTATCCATCATATGCTTAGTCAAAACTTGTTTTTAATTTTGCTGTTGGGTGACTGTTGATTGACAAGTTGTTACTAGAGTTTTTCTTCATTCAACTATTTCTACAGGAGATTTACTTTGAACATTCTGTAAATCAAAGGCAAAATATCCTCTGAAGACCTATCCATTTAAATAAGACAGTATCAATTTAATCAAAAATGGCCTCTTGTATCCAAACTTATTTTTGGAAGGGAGAAAAAAATGGAAAGGGGTGTGACAGACAGGCTCAGTGATATGTCAAAACACTGAATGCTTCAGATTTTCTGATTTAAAACAGAACTTAAAAAAAATTAAACAGTAACTAAAAATGATGTGGTAGAGTTGGGGTAATACAGCCATAATGGTCCAGGAGAAATGTGAAGGCTAAGGACGCTGGGAGGGTTAGAAGCAAAATTTTGGGTACCATGTACCTGAGAAAAGATTCATGGTACTTGAAAGCTTGACTATGTCCCTTCTAGCTATACTGCTAGCTCAATAAAAGATACCCCGCAGAAAAATCCTTGGTGAAAATGATGTAGTCTGAACCTGACTGGAGAAAGTGGTATGTATGGCTCAAAATTAGGCCTTGCATCAAATATTTCAAAGGCCTTGAAGGAAGGAGATGCTGTAAAGCAGAATAAAGGTTTGCAAACCATAAGAAATAAAGGTGTGGTTTAGAAGCCTCACCCCTTGGGTCAGCACCCACCTATAGAGAACTGACACTTCAGAATTTCTAAGACCACACACAACAGAGAAAAAAAAAATCAAGATACAAATAAATAAATGGTGCCTATCTTTGACCCATACCTCTGGCTATGAGCACATGGTAGATGATTTGCCAAATGTGATTGTTATAATCATTCAATATTTACACTAATTTAGGGGATGATACTGATTGTTGATCTCCTACTTCTTTTGTTTAATACTAAATGATTTACTGATTTTATTCCTATAGGTGGATTTGAAATAAAATTTAATACAATGATACTGAAACTCTTATATTTTAATAAGCAACATGGGTCCAGATTCTTTGAGGACTTGGGTGTACATTGGATGGTCACCTTAAAAGCCTAACCAACCTCTCTGATTAGTCTTTGCTTCTCATATCTCACCCAGATCTCAGAAAAAGACAGTAGCATCAGGTTCTTAGACAGCTACAACAGGTTATCAACTTATTCAGGTCTTAATTCAGATAGAACTTCTAAGTTCTTCATTACTAGATAGAAAAACCCCCCCACCATTAATCCAACCTCTCTAGTGAATTTAAAAGTCTGAATCTGTAATTATTTCATTTTTTAAAATGTTAAATTAGACTATACTGTGTATCAGTTTATTCTGGGCACGTGTAGCATGTATGATAACATACAAAACAGGAGATAAGCTAACATTTTAAAAGTAAAATTGAAAGCAAGATGCAATACTTCTTCCCCTTTCTTGTCCGCTTAGAATATTAAGCTTAAAATGAGTTTTTTGCACAAGTTTTTTTTTTTTTTAAACAGATTCCATGAGAATGTTGACTCTGGCTTTTTTCTAATAATACAAGCATAAATGTACGTTCCTCATGTTCCCATACTTTCCCCAGTGATAGAGATGAAGTAGTAATGGGACCAACACAAACCAGGCAGCTTTTCAGTACTTTCACAATGTATACTTGAAAGTTGAGTTTTTAATTTAGTCCTACAGAAATGGAAAAACTGTGTTTAAAATTCTAACACCATGAAACTTGCAGTTTTATGCTTCACCTACATGACATTCCTTTATATGCAAAGAAAAAACATGTGAAAGTACACAAACCTTTTAAAGACAATTTTCTCTGAATTCTGGAATAGGGCTTTTTCTACATTAGTTATCAATTTTAAATTATGGAAAAAATCCATATTGGAGTAGTAGCAGTAATAGTTTATTTACAGCTTTTGATAAAGCAATACAATAAAATGTATACTAAAATTATATAGAATAAAATAAAACGTATATCATCTATAACTTTTACTAAAAGCATACAATATAATTTTTCATTCTACCAGTTTACATAAAATTAAAACAGAATGTACTATATGATGATACAAAAAAAATACACTGAAGATGGACAATAAAACAAAGCAGGGGAATGCTATTTGATTTTGGCCCTTATTCTTTGCGCAAGTAATGAAAACACACCTAAGGAGTATAGGACAGGCTTCCAATTGTTAGAGAAGCCAGACTGGCCAAGATTTAAAATTTCCCATTAATGGAGAGATCCTTTCTCCTTTTACTTGGAGATGGTCTGTCGTTGTTTGTAGTTTTGCACAGACAACTCGGTTTTCAGGCCAAAGGAGTGCCTCATTAATCTTAAAAAAGGCAAAGTTTGAGAAAATCTCACTTCCTGCACATTGGTATCTTTCATTCTTAAATTTATATTGTATTTTAAATAAAGGGGAAATTTTGGATCATGAATCTTAACTACATTTCCCAGGCCATTTGATTGGAAGAGAATATGGATGTTATTTAACCATCCAAACAAGGGTTTATCTGGAAAAGGAAGAATTGCCAGAATGCATTTCTTAGGGTATCTGGTAGGTGTAAAAGATCTGATTTTTATCCGGTAGTTTAGAGTTCTTAATTAAACTAAGATGCTCACATTTATCAGTCCAGTTTCAGAGTGCACGAGCCTCCCACTGTAGAATTAGGTAGAGATAAACGCTGTCTTCAAAAGTAATTAGAAATCTTTTCTGTTTTTTTGTTGGACCATAGGGTCAGCACACCAAAGTTCTGCTCCATACAATAAAATGGACTCTACCTAAGATCTACAGCTCTTTCGTGCTGCCAAGACTACTTTTCTGTCTTATTGTAAAAGGATAAAAACTCTGCCCAAAGCTAGTTTTGCCCTAGCGTTCACTTTTTCTCTGTGCTTATTCCAGTTTTGTTTTTTGGGTTTTTTTGCCAAAACAGAGGCATTTTCAAACAAGGCATTTAAAAGAATACCCCCACCTCTAGTTTCTTTTCCTGTAAAAAAAACAAACTTATGGTCTCCTACCATTCCCCAAAAACAATACCTTAGAAGGCTATTTTTGCATGTACCATTGCTTAATGCTGCACTATTTAGCATTTAAACACGTAAAAAAACCCCAGAATCATTTGTATGTAGCCTTCATAGATCTAAACAGAGCTTTTGAGTCCACAGAGAGATTAAACGTATGGAAGAAACTGACAATAACAATGATGGATAAAGCTCTCCAAAAACTAATCATTACTTACTTATCAAATTTAGGACATCTAGGCAATGCCCTGTACAACAGTTTCCCAATAAAGATGGGTTCAACAAAGATGTTTACTCTGCTACTTTTTAATTTATTTTTGAATGATCTAAAACAGGTGCTAAGAAAGAATCAATTCCACACACCCATGACACTGAATGACCCTATCTCTGTCTTCCTTTATGCAGAAGATGCATTCATAATGTCATAATCCCAAATAAGCCTTCAAAGGTTATTAGATTATTTCCAGCAGTAATGTGCCTCCAATAGGTTGGAAATCAACATACTAGAGTAACTACTGAAACCAATCAACCTAGACCTGTATTTAATTTCATCAGCATTAGAGCCATCAGGTACAAACTGACTTGATGCTTTAACATCTATATTGTTTTATTTTAATTAAGTATATATTAAAATGTTTGTGAAACACCACCAGTACTACGTTATCATCATGCAGGGCTGAAGCAGTTAAACACATAACAGTTTATATTTCCTCACAAGTTACAACATTTAAGTTTGTACATTTTGTCCAGCTAAGGGGACTAGATTTCCTTACAGAATACAGTAGTTGGGTTATATATATATAGTCCTTTCTGCACCAAGGAGTTTGTGAAACCTGTCACATAGGTTGACAATTAGGCTACATACAAGAAAAATTAACCAGGCCTAAGCATTTAAGCTTTATTATACTCCAGCATCTTAGAACCATACAAAAGTAGGGCTGGAAGGAACTTCAAGAGGTCATGTAGCCAACCTTGCCTAAACCATTCTAGCCAAGTGCTTCTTACCTTTTCTTAAACAAACCTTCAAGGATGGAGATACCACAATCCCTCTGGGTAATCTGTTCTGATGCATACCTGCCCTCATAGATAGAAAGTTCTTCTTAATATCCAACCTAAACTTCCTTTGTTGCAATTTAATAAGATTGTTACTCCTTGTCCTGTCCCAAGCCCTGAAGAAGACTCTCTCACTAACCCTTTCTATAACTATCTCCAGTGTATCTAAAGACTTATCAAATCCCTCCCCTCAGTCTTTTTTTCTTAAGACTAAATAATTCCAGTTCTTCCAACCTTTTTTCAAAAGTTGTGTTTGCTAAATGCCTAGTCATTTTTGTTGCTCTCTGCTAGACTCTTCCCAATGTGTATAGAATCTTTCCTGAAGTATGGTGGCCCAAAATGACACTGCTTTACTGGTACTGAATAAAATGGAAAAATCACTTCCCTTGATTTACAGGCAACACTTCTGTTAGTATAAACCAGAATGTCAGTGGCTCTCAACCTTTTAGCCCTGAAGGCTGGATGAGTGGCATTGGCCCAGTCCATGAGCTGGATCCCTGGATAGGGGGTGGGAGGAGGGGCAGCACCTAGACTGGGCCCCATGCCACCCTATCCCTGTGCTTCTGCTCTAGTGTGCAGGGCCCATACTATCTGGCCTACTGGGTTCCCCATGGATCTGGAGATCTGTTAGCAGGGAAGTGGCAATTAATGCTGCTACCACTCCCCCAATGTCAAATTTTCAGGCCCTACAAGTTCTACAAGCCAGATGACATGGCTCTGTAGGCCAGTTCTGGCCTACAAGCACAGGGTTGAGCATGCCTGCAGCATGCTGTGGCCTTTTCTCCCCTTCTGGAACAAAAGTATACTGTTGACTTGTATTTAGCTTTGAGGTCCACCAAAACCACTATGGCCTTTTCTGCAGTACTGCAGCCTAGCCAGTCACCCCCTAATTTCCATTTGTGCAAATCATTAGGTAATTAATGCTAGATATTGGTTTTAATAATGATTCAAAGAGATCAAAAGATTCTTTGAACATCCCTATAGTTTCATTTCCCAAACAGGAGCACGTACAAAAGGCAAGAACTGCTCCAGGTGACTACAGTTTGGTAAACTGATTAAATGAAAGTGCCTACTAAAATCTGAATTTTAAGGCATACATCTGAATTTTGTTTTTTCATGCCTTAGTCAGGTACCTGCAACATGCATATGCTCTAAAGTTTGGACAAATATTTTTAACTCTGCTTTAGCAAGGATGAACTGATTCATTGTAGTAAACTTTCATTTCACAGACAGAGGATGGCTGACTTTTAGATGGCTGTCACTGTTTGCTCTATCAGTCTACAACAGGAAATATGGTTTTACATACATTAGAAAAATAATAGTAATTATAATAATATAGCTGAAGTGCTTCTCTGGAGCAATAGGAGTTAATGGGACCATCTGGCTGGCACTACAGAACTTAAAACTCTCATCCAGACAGAAGACACCATAATTTCATTGTAATTCTGACTTTTCATTTTTGTTTTTCATGCAATAATAGTAAAAACTGTCAACCTTAATTGTTTTAGAAAAGGAACCAAAGGAAAAATAAGACTGAAAGCTCACTATATTCCCACAAAATACACAGAAAAAAACAAATTGCTAACACCATCAATCAGTAAGGCTATCTCGTGTAAGAATCCTCCCTTCCAGTCGGAAAGAGCCATTTATACTGATGCATTAATAGAAAATTTGAGGGAAAAATATGCAGCATGTCTGGCACAGTATCTGAATCGAATTTCTGACCCTTTTGAGAACAGTACAAAGAACCCAACTTCATGCTTCTATCTGAGAATGCCAGCTGGCAGCCTCAGTACAGTTCCACCAATACTGCTCTTTATTTTAAAGCAGAAAAATGTGAATAATACAAAATAAAACAAGATCAGAGGATAATGTAACAGAAATATCACAGCTAAAATTCATCTAGCTTTCATGTTACAAATTTCTTAAAACACAGCTCTAACTGTTGAATCTGATCTATGACTTACCAAGAGAATATTTAGGTGTCAATATATTTTCCATGTAAAAATTTAACAAATAAAAGGCTGGATCAGGAACAAGTTTCTAGGTGTTTGTTTTCCCAGTTCTGAAGTTGCAGACAGGGTGACAAGAAAAATAAGACAGGCAGAGAGATGTTTGAGTTCTTTCTGGCATACCTCCAAATGAACTTAAAATGGCTATTCTTTTCGCAGAATCTTCACAGGCAGTAAGTCTAGGATGTTGATTAGAGCCTTCATTTGCTGTTTTGGCAAAAGCATACTGAAAAAAGATGCTTGTTTCATTTAAAATTGTGGTTACTGTATAAGCACAGTCAGTGCTTTTCAATTACGTTTTGTAAGGCTGTTTAGTATACTATCTTAGTGCTCATGTGAAACAGCTGCACTGACACAATGGACTGCAGCCGTTCTTACTGTCCCAATAATCCACATATTAAAGAGTCCCTAAGTACTCATTGATGTGACAGACCATAACAACTCCCTTGGAGCTGTTACAGTTTATCAGGTCAGTGATCTGCATATTAAGGATTCCCCAAGTACTCATTGACAGGTAGCATCTCATGCACTTGTACTAAGATAATAATTGCTTCCTAGGAACTGTTAAATCCCAGTAGAAGCAATAAATGAATTTAAAATCACCAAGATTGGACTGCAATGCTTCTTAAAGTCTGAGAAATCTACAAGAGTAGGGCATCTGAAACGAACTGCCATACTTAGGAAATACTGTTGCACTAAATATTGGAGGAGGTTAAAGTGTTGCATACTTCTTGTGCTGATAATTAAAATTACCGTCTTTCTCTTAAGAAAAATAGAGGAGTCAAAACTTATCCTTGACTATTTTAGTAAATCATGTCTTTGGAAGGCTGCACAACCTTCCCCCATGTAACTTAGTGAGCTTCCTAACTAACTCCTCAAATGCATTATTAGCTTCCTCTCCCTCACTCTCCACCTCTCTGCCTTCCAATTCCTTTATTTAATTTAGCCAATTTATTCAGTGAGCTCTTCCACCCTCACCTCTCTCCACTAATCCTCTCCTTATATTTGTTCTTTTTTCTTTCTTCCCTTTTTCTGTACACCACAGCAAATTCTCCCTTTTGCCACCTAGGTTCCTGGTCTCCCTGTAACCTTAATATTCTTATTATGCTTTTCCTCCTCTTACCCTCTTCCTTCATTTCTATTCTACAATTTAAGAGAATAATTCATGCAGTATTCTTCCACTGCTAGACTATGGAACCCTTTGAGCTGGTAAGGACCTGTAACGATTCTCCAAACCTTGTGCATCATCACACAGTGAGACAGATGCATCTAAACAGATGCATCTAAAATGTGAACATTTTGGTCAGCACTCATTTTCTGCAATGTGCCAGACAAAGAAAGGAGTGGAAGTACTCAAGAGCACTGAAGAAATGATTGACTATATGAGAACTGCACAACTGGTGCTCCTAAATTAAAGGTAGGAATCCAGCTTAGAGGCCTGTTCCATGACACTAAATTAGAATACCATGAGATCTTTCTCCATGACAGACCTGTGGCTGAGAGGGGAATCTTCACCTTCTCGGTATAAACAGGGATATTCAACTAGCAGCTTGTGGGCTGTATGTGGCTGCTGAGGGATTAACTTGGAGACCCCAGGCTCCTGATCCAGGCACTGCTCCCCAGTCACTTCTCTGCTGCTGTCTCCAGGCTTCTCTTTCCTCCTCCAGCTTCTACCTCCTGCCCCTGTCCCCAGAGGCAGATGCAATGGTATGACATGCAGGACTGTGGGAACCTATAGCCAGTGGGCTCAGAAGGACCACAGGATCCCATGTGGCATAGTGGCAGCCACCATGCTGCAAGGAGGGGACCTATGGTGTGCAGGATGCTGCCCATGTGGCATGTAGCCAGAGGACATGTGGCCATCCAGAAGTTGGACAGCCCTGGTGTAAGCAAAGGTACAAGCACTGGAATCCCTCAAGTATGGGTTTGAATTTCACCTGCAGTTTTGTAATGTACAGTAAGCGCAAAAATTATGCCAAGTCAGTTAGATTGCTTGTTAGATGTTCATGTTTTCTGTGGTTTATTTATATATAGCTAACTTCAGAGGCTACAGGCACAGAATCCATCAAGGAATGGTTTTGTTTCAAAACTATACAAATGAATCACGAAGTGGAGGAAACATTTGGGGAAAAAAAGGATCTATAATTCAGGCCACAATAATGGGTGTAATAGGTAATCAGAATGAAATGAATTACATAACTGTTCTAAGTGAGAGGCAAGGATTTTGTTTGGTGATATCTTTTATTGGACCACCAGTTGGAATGAAGCTAGAATGTACAGCATTCTTTATTCTTCTTCAGAATGCTGAACAAGAATGCTTTACATTCAAAATTCACAGTGTTGGGAAAACTGTTGGAAAATACTTCATTACTGCTTGGTGTGAAAGATGCTCACCCCAAAAAAACCAGCCAATACTGTGATATCAAAATGCAAACTCTGAAACATATAATAACGTCATTACATACTGACAGAATGCTACAACACAAATTTCATGTTTCACGAAATGGGTAAGGAAGCATTGGGTGGCTCTGTTATACTTTGTCAATGCTCACTGCATTGTAATGTGTGTATGTCATGAGGAGGTGCTCTTCTGTGATCATTCACTGTACCAGAAACCATACTTGATCCAACCCAGTCTCCTTTAGAACCAGTGTGTTTTTTGAAGCCTCAAGTAACCTGAATTAATAGAATATGTCAATTAAAAATTGCAGGCAGGATCTGATATTAGAACTAGAGATAAAATAACTCATATGGTGACCAGTTCTTTCTTGAACTGAAATTTAACACAGCTTGCCAGAGAAGTTAGAAATAGTATGTTGCAACATAGTATGTTTGATTCCTGCAAGCCACTTACTAAGATGGGTCCTACTGGGCCACTGAAGTCAGTCTCCAGCATAAACAGTCTTTGCAATTATTTTATTTTCAGTACAATTATTATTATTTAAGTCACGAGTGTTAGCTTTACAAAACTACCTGGCTGTAATGACACTTGCTACAAAATCCTCTGTTGATTTTATGTGCCACTAAGATGATAGTTTTACACAGTTTTGAAAGGTGTTGAACTATAGTTGAGTGTACAGCTCCGTTTGATTGCGGAGGAACTTGAATTACTAACATGTAGGGCCTGTTTTAAGTTGCAGGTCCAGCTTATGGTGCAACAGCTCCTTTAATACTGGAGCTCTCCCCATGAGCCCCCTCCCACTCCCCACTGATTTGAGGAGGGGCTCTGTTGGCCCCACCGTTCATTCCTGATGGCTGGGAGGCAAAAACTGAGGTTTTAAATGTCATGCTTTTTGCCTCCTGTTTGGTCAGCAGCAAGTGGCAGGAGGCAAGAACTGCAGTTTTTGCTCCTGGCCACCAGGAGTGAGCAGCTAGCAATGGGGCCCCTCCACCAATCAGCAGTGGGTGGGGCCAGGGAGCAGGGGCAGGAACTCCAGCATTAAAAGAGCTGCTGCACTGTGAGCTGGGCCTACAATGTAAGCCAGGCCCTAGCAATATGTACCTTAATGCCCACTTTTGGCAATATGAAATCTTCACATTTTTACAAATATTATCAGTATCCAGTAGTTTAGTATTTATGGGAATCTTGTATATAAACAATTTTCACTGCTTGCAAAAAACAAAACAACCTACTTCCTTCCAAGTCCAAATCCCCAAACGGAACTTTTTTGCACATTTTTGCAGTGGGATATTTTACTTGAATACTTATGTATTCTCACTTGAAAAAATCATAATTCTTTTTAAAGGCAAGTTAAAGCCCTTTCTTCAGCTTCTGGAAGCAACAATTTAATTTAAAAGCTAGTTTTAAAATGATGCTTTTTTAATACAAAGGTGATTTAGTTTTCACCTATTTCACGCCCAAAGCATACTTAACGAGACTGTCACAAATCATTGTTAAGTAGGTAAGGAAGTCTGTAGTAATTTGAAAATCAAACTAAAATATAAACAGTAAAAATCTAACTTGCTTACTTTTTAACAAAGCTTTCATTACATTTTGAATGTTTAATTATATTTTATTCTGAAAAAGGGTTTTAATTACAAGCATTGGGTGGTGGAAAAAACATCTTAAATTCTTAGTCTTATCATTACTTTCTTTTACAAATTTATCCTCAAGAAAGAGACAATTACAGCATTGTAAAATTACCGGCTCATGTGGGTATATTACTAAATGTTGAGCATATAGGGTTCTGACTGACGTGGATGGAAAAAAACCCTGAAATAACCCTTGTGTTTTAATGGAAGCAGCAGTATGTTACTTTGACCTGTCTCTGCAGCATCTGTATAGACCAGGCACTTTAGTGGGGCTTTTTTGGCACTTTATCTAATAGCTGATTGAATCAGCTATTAGATAAAAGTGCCTAAAAGCTCCACTAAAGTGCCCAATCTATACAGAAGTTGGGGAAACTAATCAATGATGCCCAGGAACGAAGAATCATAAGAGGGGAGAAAGAATAAAAAATGAGGGACTTCAGAGCAGCAAAGTGTCCCTGAGAGGGGAACCTGAGGTTACACCACCAGCTCGTCTCACCCTCCCCAAAGCGGGGGGTGGGCCTTGGCCTTCAATCTCCAGGCTGTTGACATCTGACATTCAAGAGAGAACTTCAGGGTGAAGCTCACTGACTGGCCAGATGCACCTTCCCTCTATGATAACTGTATGACTGGTAGATATAGAACTGTTTGCATTATTCTCATCTCCTATCACTGTGTATCAATTAAATTTGCCTACTATCCAATACAGAGGTTGTGGTTGGTCTGCAAGTTTGGGTCCGTCTGGAACAAGGTATCTGGGTCATAAATCTAATGCCAGCAGGCTTGGTGTGGGGGTGTGCAGAGTTTAAAGTAAAGCACCATTCTCCCCCTTCCCCACCATGTCTGCAAGCAGCCACAGACGTAGTCAATAACCCACCAAACAAATTCAGTTGAGTTATTAACAAAAAAGCCATATACACACACCTAAGCTACCAAAAGACAGAATTAAGAAAAAATTTGAAATAGTAAGTTAAATCTATTTCTTAAGCACTCTAGCATGCAGATACAAAGTTAATTTTTACTGTATCATTTCCTAGAACTACTCTAGATAAAAATGAATTATATTCCCTCCTTAGATAATCTTGGGTATTTTTTCTTGTTATATTTTTTCAACATAAAAAGTAGCTGGTAATACAAGGAGAAAAAAAATTAAATTATAATGAACAGATATGATATATTCCTTAAAAATATTTTCCACAAGTGAATGTGAGAAAAAGTATATATGCTATATTTTCAAATAAGAGTTTCTTTCTTCTTTCCTTATTTTAGACATACAGAAAATTGATAGAGAAATCTTTTCTTCCTTGAATTGTAGGCTAAAATTTACTCTGCCTTTATCTGTAGCATATAGAGTTTAATGTATTGAAAAATTATAACTGTCAGCCCCTACACTGCCAACTGCTGTAACTACTTGGGATGTAGAAAACCACACACGACTAGGCAGCCCTAAGGCATAAGTCCATCAAAAAGGGTCTAGAATCCTATACAGGTAAGTTTATCACAGTTCATTCCCCTAACATGCTATCAGAAGTGATCTCCCCTGCACCTTTAAAAAAAAATTATATATGTATGTATGTATGTATGTATGTATGTTCTACAAGCATCTGCTCAGAACCAAGGGAGGACATTTTTTTTTAGTTTTCTTTTATAAGAACCGTTCCATCCTAACTGATATTTGTCCCATTTTTGTATCATCTGTCTCATCATGACACCAAGGCTAAGTACAGACAGTCAAAAAGCCTAAGGTGGAATTGATTCAGTCTTCGCAGGTTTCTCTAAACTGCATAGATTAAACCAATAATGAAGTGAGCTGACATTCAGTTTGCAATTGGAAGAGGCAGGTGGAGGCCTGCACTGATCCAGGCCAGAAGGTGGGGGGGGGGGCACTTGAGTACACCTCCCAGCCTGCCCCCACAATGGGAAAGAACCCCACTCCTGGTGTTGGCTCTGCTAGCTGGGCATCTGATCACAGGAGAAGCCCCATGCGTCTCTCTAGGCTGGCCTGGGATTCCCTCAGCACTGGTCTGCCCAACTGTGGGGGGAGGGTGGTGAGGGCAATTCCCCTCCTCCCCACAGGGCTGGGTTGGTGCCAGTCACTGACATGCAGGGGAGAGGGGGAAAGGATCCTCTGAGTCCTGATTTCCCCAGCTGCAGAGAGCAGGGGTGATTGCCCCCAT